AGAGACCTGGGAGCAATTGAGGACTCTGAAGAAATTGGATTTATGGGATGTGATGATGTTGAAAGTGGTAGCAAATATGTCTTTGTATTAAAAAGTAGAAGTTGTTTCTGAAAATGTATATATTATACATTTATAGATAGAATCACTGCTGCAGAATGTCTATGTGGACAATATGATTGAGACATGTCAGACATGGAGTTGGGTGAGCCAGAGCCTGCTGTTTGAGAATAATGTAAGAAGAGCACTGGATCTGGAATCAGAAGTCCTAGGCTTAGGTCCTGACCCTTTCTCTTACTGGCAATGTGTTGTTTTTACATCAGCATATAAGCCTCACGTACATTATTACACATCACATATTAACATAATGTCTACCTCAAAGGATTATTAAGAGGATTAGGTGGAAGAATCTTTGTGACAGTACTTTGTGAAGTAATTTAGTTGCCAGTAAAGTTGGATAAAAGGTGTAGTCAGTCTAGAACACAGCACAATGTAATGTTTGTTCATTAGTTAATATTAGACTCTGTGAACCTCAAAAGGTATTCATTTTTATAATAAGATGAAATGGGGTGGATAAGTAACTGGAATTGATCTCTGGAAGAAAACTTGAAAAAAAATACAGCTTTAAAAACATTTAAAGGGCCCTAACTGGTTTGGTTCAGTGTATAGATCACATGTGTCAAACACAAGGCCTGCGGGCCAAATCCGTCCCGCCAGGCCTTGCAATGTGGCCCGCACCGCGCTGTCATCACTGCACTCCGCTGCGTTTCCATCACAATGACAGTTTATGACTGTTCAGTAAACCATTCGGCCCGCGATTTAGGCTGGATTTTAGATTTTGGCCCCTTCTCTGATTGAGTTCGACACCCCTAGTATAGATCATCGGCCTGCAAACCAAAAGGTCCCAGGTTCGATTCCAGTCAAGGCCACAGGTGCAGGCTCCTTCCCCGCCTGGGCCCTGGCCAAAGCTTGTGCAGGAGGCAACCAATCTATGTGTTTCTTTCTTATCAGTGTTTCTCTCTGTCTTTCTCTCTCTCTCCCACTCTCCCTAAAAAACATCAATGGAAAATTATCCTCAAGTAAGGATTAACTCCCCCTACAGAAAAGTGTTTAAGGGAACCCTGGCTGGTGGCTCAGTTGGTTGAAGTGGCATCCCATACCAGGCGTCCTCAAACTTTTTAAAGTGGGGGCCAGATCATGGTCCGTCAGAGAGCTGGAGGGCCGGACTATATGAACTACTAATTCCTACTGTAACACCTCGGTTGCGCTCACTGCCCAAAAAACCTGGCGGGCCGCATCAGACTCCTCTGCGGGCCGCATATCGCCCGTGGGCCGTAGTTTGAAGACCCCTGCAATTGCCAGTTCAATTCCTGGTCAGTGCACATACCTAGATTGCAGGTTTGATCTCCAGCCGGGGTGCATATGGGAGGCAACCAATCAATGTTTCTCTTCCTCCCTTCTCTCTAAAGTCAATTTTTAAAAAATGAATTTTAGGTTGTTTGCTTGAACAACTGGAAAATTATTATTTTTTTTAATGTTTAAGGGAGTTAATAGACCCTAGTTTGTTTTTAGATAATACTGGCTTATGGAAAAATATGTCACCTATTAACACTGATACCAATGCGAACAATTTCTTTTCAACCTTCGAGTTTGAAATCTAGTGTATGTAGGGTATCAGAATGGAAGGGCAGGCCTATGTTGCTTACTTTGTTCATAGTCCTTAACCCCAATCCATGAGCTGATTATCCCTGCCGTTGTCCTTCTCAATTTCTTTATCACTATTGACATGAGAGAGCTTTTTACTCAGGAAATAACATTGTCTCAGCACTCAACTACACAAACTTCACACAGAGCCAAGCCCTTCAACCTCCAATTAAACGAATTCAGAATCCATTTCTGGACTGTCAAGCCCATTATTCCCTTTAAAACAACAATTCATTCAGTTTTCCCTTTTGTACATTTGTACATTTATAAATTTAATTCAGCCTATATTCTTGAGTTCATAATTTTATGTTGTCATTCTCAAACTCCAATTCTTTAGTTGGACTATTAATATCAGCATTGTGTTTCCTAATTACTAGTAGTACTGAAGTGGTATGTTGATTATAATTATTAATTCAACTCCAAAGTTCCTTGAGGGTTGGTTCCTCATTAGAATGAAGGTACCCAAAAGTGAATACTGAAATGGGCCTGGTTATGAGTTAGATGCTGCAAGTTTTCTTGGACAAATGCCTTCATTTCTTAGAACTTTGATTTCCTCGTCTTTTAAGCAGGAGGAAGAATATCTACCTCATGAAGTTGTTACAAGGTAATGAATATGAAATTGCACTATATCCAGCTGCAGAAGAATCACCCCAGATTATGTAATAAGTACAAAGGTAAATGTTCTTTAAGAATGGGAAAAACTAGCATTTACCTCTTAACCAATTAAAATGCAGCATTACTAAGGCTGAAACAACCCTATAATGTGCCTCTTCATGGAATACAGTAAGCCAAAAGTATAACCTGAATTCATCAAGCTGCTTAGACCAGATTGTCAGTTTACAGGACATACAGGAAGCAGAACAAGGTAAATGACACCAGGAGAAATTTATATATGGAATATTGTACGAGAAAACTACACTATATTCTTCAAAATGACAATGAGGAAAAGGGGAGAGGTGATAATCTTTGAAGCTGAATATTAAGAGTTTATTGTACTGTTCTCTGCTTTTATATACAATATGTATGAAATTTAACACAGTAAAAGGTATAAAAAGTGAATGAGGAAGCTGGGTTTAAAAGATAGTAAAGATCATCTGCCAAACATGGCTCAGTGGTTGAGCATCAGCCTATGAAGCAGGAGGTCACAGTTCGATTCCTGGTCAGGGCACATGCCTGGGTTGTGGGCTCGATCCCACTGTGGGGGTGTGCAAGAGTCAGCTGATCAATGATTCTCATCATTGATGTTTCTATTTCCCTCTCTAAAGTCAATAAAATATAAACTTTTAAAAGATTCTAAAGATCAGTAAGAAGCTAAAGCAGGAATGTAGACTCACACAAATGCCAAATTGGATTTTTGATAAAGATACAAAAGGAATTCGGCAGAGGAGGGACTTCTCAGCAAATGCTGTTGGAACGATTGGATATCCGTAGGCTAAATAAATAAGTAGTTGGGAACTAAGCAAAGAATTCTTAGATTTTTATAAAAAAAGAAAGAAAATGCTCCATAAGAGGAAAAAAATATTTGCTCTTTAAAAGACTCTTGAGAGGCCCGGGCTGGCATGGCTCAGTGGTTGAGCATCTGCCTATGAACCAGGAGGTCATGGTTTGATTCCGTGTTTGGGCATATGCCCCAGGGGTGTACAGAAGGCAGCAGATCAATGGTTCATCATTAATGTTTCTGTCTCACCCTCTCCCTCTTCCTCTCCCTCTTTGAAATCAATTTTAAAAGTAAAAATAGTAAAAGACACTTAAGAAGATGAAATATTTACAAATTATACATTCATACAGCATTTATATTTAGACTATCTATAAAATTCTCCAAACTCAATAGATTTAATTTAAAAATGAGCAAAGTCACACATTTCACCAAAGTATAGATGGCAAATAAGCAAATGAAAAGTCGTTTGACGTCATTAATCATTAGGGGAATGCCAGTTAAAAATAACTGCACAGAATAGCTTTGGAAATAGACAAATGTCTTAACACCAAATGTTGGCAAGGATGTGGAGAAAATGGATCTCATATTTGCCAGGAAAGTTAAATGGCACAGCCACTTTGGAAAAGAGTTTGGCAGTTTCTTTCCAGTATTTGCTCTCCTGAGCATTTATCCCACTGAAGTGAAATCTAATGTTCAGATGAAAACTTGTACATGACTGTTCATAGCAGTTTTTTTTCATAATCAAAATTTGCAAGCCAAATATCCTTCAGTAGGTGGTTAAACAAACTCATATCTATACAATGGAATAATTATTACTCTGCAATAAAATGTAGTGATCTATTGATACTTGCAATGACTCAAGTGAATTTCAAGTGAATCATGCTGAGTGAAAAATCCAGTCTCAAAAGGTGAAAAAGCAAAATTCCATTTACATAATTTCCTAAAATGACAAACCTACATAAGTGAAAAACAGATTAGTGGTTGCCAGAAATTGGGAATGGTGGGAGGGAGCAGGGACAGGAAGGGAAATCTTTGGAGTGTTGGAATAGTTGTGTATCTTGATTGTGTTGATTATACAAATCTATACATATCATGATAAAATAACAGAAGTAGACTCACACTGTACCAGTGTTGATTTTCTGATTTTTATATAATTATGTAAGATATACCTATTTTGGGAAACTAGGTGAAGGGTAGTAGTATCTTTGCAACTTCCTATGAACCTTTAAATTCAAAATAAAAAGTAAAAACAAAGACTAAGGACTGTGATGCAGTGTGAGAAACTGATTTGGAAAAACAAAATTATGAAATACGTATTTTAGGACAGTTGGGAAATTTTGAATAACTATATTAGTTGATATTAGGAAATTACTAGTTTTCTTACCTGTAATGATGGTGTTTGGAGAATATGATGAAAGGATGAATATTGAAGTATTTGGAATGAAGTGTTTTGATGTTTACCACTTTAAGAAAAAAAGGTTTTTCAGCATGTGCTATGGCACAAAGCAAACGCAGCAAAGGTTGATAAATCCAGATGGATGCTTACAGGTATTATATCTTTCAACTTTTTTCAGTACCTGTGTGATAGTTTCAAAACATTTGGAGCAAAATTATCAGGGCTTTCTACAGATGAAATCTTTGTAGCTTCGGGCTCCTGGATGCTCGCGTCCTTTACCTGCTCCTGCCCAGTCTGGGGATGCCCATCTCTGAAGCCCAGGGCCACAGTCTACCTGCATCCCCCTCCTAAGCGCTTCTGCTCCCATCCCAGATCCACAGCACTATGGGATGCCCATCGAGAGGAAAGCACCTCCCAGGCTCCTAGAGAGGCCGGCATGCCGACTCGGGGAGCCGGAAGTCCAGCCGAGGCGCTTCCTGTCCGGTCATTGTTCTGGCGCCGCTGGCCGCTGGCCGCGGGGGTCCGGCCCGCCGGCCTTCTGCCCCGCAGCCCATGAGTCCTGCGGCCCGGCCTCTCCGCGGCGCACGGTGAGCGGGGTTGGGGGGCGCGAACGAGGGGGGCCCGGGAGGGACGTCCCTGTGGTGGGGATGGTCCCTGTGGCGGGGATGGTCCCTGTGGTGGGGACCCCCACTCGGTCCCACCACTTCGGGAGCCCGGCTGCCGCCTGGGGGAGGTTGGACACGAACCTTCGCAGGAGCCGGCTCACCCGGGAGCAGGGCTGCGCGGGGCTTGGAGGTGGAGGAGACGGAGGAGCTGGGCTGCTGCGTTGGGAAGGAAAGGACATGGAAAGGAAAGCGCTTGGTAGGGGGCTCCGCGCTGTCTAGGGCTGGAGGCCGATGTGAGTGCTCAGCAGCCCGAAGACAGGGCTCACAGTAGCCAATCTTGCATATTCACAGGTGCAACGCGTGTTAAGGGTCTTCCTGCCTAGAATTCGGCTAGTCGAGGAAAGAAGAACGTTTCAGAATTAAAATTTGTTGCAGGAGTGCAAGTATTGCATTTCTCAAGAAATTCAAGGTATACAATAAGTTACTAGTAAGTTGACACGTGGGAAAAAGCATATGATCACTTCAGTAGCAACAAAAGGGGTTAGTAAAAGCATTTTTTATTCTAATAATGCAGCTAAAGGGGACTATAAATATCACATTCTCTTCATGGTCAACGAAAATGTTAAGGTAATTGTATCACTTAAAAAAACAAACCAAAAAAAACCCCAACCTTTTGGCTTGGTTGTGAGAAAAGGGTACTGCTAAGTTGGTGGCGTGATTTGGTGTGGCCCTTTTAGGAAGCAGTTTGGCAGTACATGTCAATCATAAATTCCTTCAACCAGTAATCCCGCTATTCTGTTTGCACAGAAAAATCTTAGCATTAATTATTTTTGAGAAAATAAGTGGAAACAATAAAAACTTCTTTTACTGAAGCAATGGTTCTTAAGTTAGAGATGGTTAAGTAAATTATAGCTAAAAAAGAAAGTACTATGCCAGAATGAGATATCTCTGAATGTACTTATATTTAAACATCTATCTAAAACTACTAGACTGTTGTGAAATATAGAAATTGAGTTAAAAAAACCTGCAGATTGCTGAACAGTATACATATATGATCTAATGTATTGTGGAAAAATAAACTAAGTGTGAAGGTGTATATAAATGTATGGCAACGCAGAGAAAAGATTAAGTAGACTGATCACTAATTTGTGTGTGTGTGTGTGTGTGTGTGTGTGTGTGTGTAGGACTTATATTTAATTCTGTGTATTTCTGTATACTTGATGCTTTTTCAATGGAAATGATAACACTATAGGCTATTGTGTAGTTACTAAAAAGGATAAGTGTAAAGAATGGCAACATGAAAAAAATCTTCTTTATCTTAAGACTAAGTCTTAGTCTCACAGGACATTTGGAAGAAATGGAAAATATAACAATCAAAAAGAACCTCAAAGCTACCTGTAATCACATCACCCAATGATAACATGTTGGTGTCTAGGCTCCCAATTTTTCTTGATGTTATTATTCTATTATCATTCTATTATTTATCTTTGGCACTAAAATCTTTGTGTTGTAATGTCCCTTTTTAAAACACACACACACACACACACACACACAGAAAATCCCCATGGTGATAATTGTGAAAATATGAATCCCCGTAGTTAAAAAGTTTAACTTGTCTGCTGAAACCGGTTTTGGCTCAGTGGTAGAGCGTCGGCCTGCGGACTGAAAGGTCCCAGGTTCGATTCCGGTCAAGGGCATGTACCTTGGTTGCGGGCACATCCCCAGTAGGGGGTGTGCAAGAGGCAGCTGATTGATGATTCTCTCTTATCAATGTTTCTAACTCTCTGTCCCTCTCTCTTCCTCTCTGTAAAAAGTCAATAAAATATATATATTTTTTGGTTACACAATTGTGGTGGAAGTTTTCTCTTAAAAGAAATGTATTCTATCATACACAGTGGTTACCTCCTTGGAGATGGACCAGCAGTGATTTTTCTTCTCATTTTTTGTATTTTTCAAGTCTTTACAATAAAAATGTATCAATTTTATAATCAAGAAAAAATCAATAGACACTATATAAAGCTGTTTGCAGTGTAATTATTATGGGGACAGATTACAAGTTTACAATCCAACCCCTTCCATCCCATTCATGAGGAGTGGAGCAGAGCCTGGGCTGCAGTGGCCCCTGTCTGGGCACTGGTGAAACTGGCCAGTGGGCTTGGTAGCGGATCGATCCTTGTGGTGGGCCGGCATGTCCTTGCCTTGGGGACCCCAGTTAAATCAGCCAGGCAAATGTCTGCTTGGTGCTAACAACGTTTTCTGCTTTCTCGGTAGACAGTACTCATCCTGGCCCTGGGAGGAAACTCGAGAAGATCCTGTTGAAATTAAAATTAGATGGGGCTTGACCTCTGCCGGGCAGCCCTCAGCCGCAGGCGCTCTGCCGAGCAGAGAAGATGACTGCAGATTTGAAGGAGGCCATGGCCCTGGCGCCTTGGGGCCCAGTGACAGTGAAAAAGGAGGAGGAAGAAGAAGAAAGCTTCCTAGGTCAGGCATCCAGCCAGCAAGTGCGTTCTGACGACATCAAAGCCGGGGCTCCTGGAGGGGATCCTCGGGAAGGCCCTGATGGGGCAGAGCAGGAGGAAAGGGTAAGTAATAGTCTGGGTGGAATGGAGGAGGAGAAACCGAAAGATCTCCAGGGGTTTCAGAGAGGGCCGCTGTCCCTCTGCTGCCACGCTGGAGCCTTGTTCTAAGCTGGGGCTCTGGCCTTTTGTCCTTTGGAATATAAAGGAGCATTCTCTTCTGATTGATGTGGCATCTGATACTATATATATATGTATATAATATATATGTTATATACATGGGTATATATATTATTTCAGAGAGGAAGAGAGAGGGAGAGAGAAATGGAAACATCAATGATGAGAGAAAATCGATTGGCAGCCTCTGCCCCCACTGGGGATTGAGCAAGCAACCTGGGCATGTGTCCTTGACCGGAAATAGGCTGGCATTCTATCCACTGAGCCAAACCAGCCAGGGCTGGCATCTAGTACTTTATAAACCGGTGGTTCTCAAACTGCTACACAGCATTACCTGGGGAGCTTTTTATAAAACTCTGATGCCCATGCCATACTGCATTCCAGTTAAATCAGCATCTGGGGGCGGGACCAGACTTGTCCGGTTTTTAAAACTTTTTAGCTGATTCCAGTCAGGATTTGATCATTCTGACCTTTGTTTCTCAAACTTGAATATACACAGGAATCGCTGTGGCGGGGTCCTGTTGAAATGCAGATTCTGATTCAGAAGGTCCAGGGTGTGACCTAAGATTCTGCATTTCTCACGCTCTCAGGTGAATGTGATTCATTTGAACTGCAAAGGACCCTTTGAGTAGTGAGCTTTTGTACCACACTGTGGTCCTTATGTTTTCAAACACCCCCCTTACTGGCAGTAGCTAGATGAGGTTCCCCAAAGCCTGTGTAATAGTATGATCTTTGACCTTTAGACCTCAGAAAATTCTGCTCTGCAAAGTCTCCCTATGTGCTCTCTTGTTTGTCATGCACTCACTGGCAAGTTCAGTGTGGATGCTAGAGAGCATTGAGGTGAAATCAGAATGATAGGGAAGAAGGTGCAGGCTTGCTTCTCTGCCTAACTCTTCATGAGGATTAGATTAGGAAAGACTGGCTTCCTTGACTTCCTGTTATTATTTATTTTTTAAATGTTTGGATTCCTGGCCGGGTCCCTCGGTTGGAATAATGTTGTTCTGTATACCAAAAAGGTTGGTATATATTGTAGTACCCAGTCAGAGTACATATAGGAGACAAATGATGGATGTTTCTCTCTCTTTCTCCCCCTTCTCCTCTTCTCCCTCCCTCTTTAAAATCAATTTTTTTTTTTTTTAAGTTTGGGGATTGGTGGGGGGGAGGTTGTTTGTTTGTTTTTATCATTTCCAGGAATAGGTACGTAATATTCTCATCTTCAAAAGCAGTCATCATACCTGATCACCCCCAGCCCCTGATCCCAGTGACCATCCTCTCATAAACCCACCTATGCCTGCCTGTCTCTAGGGTCAGAACATGTTCTGGGACATGGCGGTAGTCCTGAAAGCAACGCAGGAGGTGCCTGCTGCTTCAACCCTCGGCAGCTACTCGTTACCAGGGAGTCTGGCCAAGAGCGAGGTACTGGAGACTCACGGGAACATGGCCTCTCTGGGTAAGTTTAGCTGCTGATCCAGAATGCTGAAAGATGCCTGTGCATTTATCACGGGAAATGGCTTATTCTGCATAGAGTCTCAAGACACCAGACAAACACGGGAACTTCTGATTCACCTTTTAATCACATTTGTTGTTGAGCAGGTTTCAGATCTATTCACACATGTGGGTACATAACCTCTTCATATACTTCGTGTTGAGCATAGGTTGGTGATTTTGAGAAAATCGCCTGGAGGTGTTCTGTTTTCCTCGAATTTTTTGCAAATTCTAGAGGATTTTGAGCAGTGATGTCAGCTAAAAACTAGGTCCTCCTGAAGGATATGGTGGTTTATCATCTGGTTCTCTAAGCTGGGACTTAGGAAAGAGAGGTATCCTATATAATAAAGAGCTAATATGCTAATTAGACCGGACGGCAGAATGACCTTTCAGAATAACCTTCCAGAATGACCAGTGGGTGGGGCCATGAGGCAGCTGTGGCTGTGAGGGCGGAGCCCCTTGCACGAATTTTGTGCATCAGGCCTCTAGTGTTACATATCTAACTAGCAGTAGCAGAGGCTTGCCAATGGAGTGGTGTGTAACTGGCTGAAGAATGTGGTAGCTGTGAGTCCTGTGTTATGGAAGCAATCCCTGGATATCTGCCAAGGCCTCTTTGGGCACTCACTTTATGAGTCTGTCTGGTACAGGGCTGAGTCTGAATATTTTGAACCCATCCTCCTCACTAGCTAGTCCTCAGGCATTTGTGGTCCAAGTCACTTTCTTAAACCAGTCTTGTGAGGAAGGTTGGGATCTCTACCTTTCATCTTCTTGCCTGATTTTTATTTATTCCCCAAACTCTCCGCAGCTTCTGTTCCTCACTTTCTGTTTTCTGTTCCATTCTCTCTGATGTATTCCCCAGTGTAATGTTTTTTCTCCGTGTCCTCGCTTTATCAGTTATTCATTGTCTTAATTCTCACAGCTGCACCCGCCCACCAGGAATGACTTTTATTTTCCTTCTCTTGACCTCAACACTGCTCCCAGCAAAGACTTACTTTTCTGTGCTGCCAGCCACTTCCACAGCAGCAGGTCATAGCAGGAACACTGAGCTCTGAGAAGTAAAAGAGATCCCTGCCTCTGATAATTTTATGGCCTTTCCTTTCTGTGATACTGCCCTTATTATCTGAATGCTTGTGATGGAATTTTATATTACCATAGTTTTAACCAGGCAACCACGCTGGGCTGTTTCCTGCCCCCATATTGCTTTGTCCCACCTTGACATTCCTGTCCCACCCCCTCATCTCTGGTTGGAGAGTCACCCTGGCTGGAGCAGGTTGGATGTTTTGTGGGTGCTGGGTTCCCCTGGCAGTTGCTGCGTGATGTAGTTCACAGCTTCACTGCTCACTTCTAAGTTGACACCACCAATGGGGAGACCTGCCTCTCAACCCTCACCCCTGCTGATCCTCATCCTACTTGGCTTATTATTTGAATATTTTCCTGAGCTTGGTTTAATTCCCAAACACTTAATAAGGGTTCAGTCCGCCAGCTCTGGTAAAAGGGGGGGCCTTGGCTTCATGGGTACACATTGCAGGGTCAAGGGCAGTGAGGCTGGAGAGGAGACAGAGCTATGATGTCACTGACTGCAGGACCCTTTGTTGATAATATTAGGGTTGTGCTGCAATGTAGAGCAAGCATGTCAAACTCAAAGGCTAACACGGGCCAAATAAACAAGGTTTAAGTTCATGTAGGCCACAAAAAAACAAAAGCTTCCATTTTCACAGAAACGTAGGTTTATTTCGACAGAGACATGCTGAATACAAAGGGCGGAAATAAATGAGTAATTGTTAACATAAAATAATAGAACAGCTTAATGAAAATTAGTTTTTCTTTCTTGAACATTAACTTACCAGACACTGAATAACTGCACAAATTAGTAAGCGTAATGCAAATAAACCTATTTTTCTTGTTTTCTGAAAGTGAAAAATTTCCTGTTGCACACACCAAACAAGTCAGTACAAGACTAATGACGTGGCAATTGGCTGCTAAAATATTCACTACTAGTATCTATAAGTGGAGAGAAATGGTGCACCTGCACATAAGGCGAATAAGGGAAATGAATGCAACACAATTATAGAAATCAGTCATTACCAAACGTTGTTGTTCGTTATTAATAATTATGTACAACAGGATATTTTACAAATTAAATTATGAAATTTTTATTAAAACGTTTCTTACATACCGTTATATGGCGGGCCCTGAGTTTGATGTGCTTGATGTAGAGCAAGCAGAGACTAGTCAGTTTTAAAGCTTCCTGAAGCTTTGATGTTTTTCTGGTATTTTTCGGCACTGTGGAGCAGGTTACCCCATGTCTTACACTGAACCCGAAAAGGTCATCTTTCCCTGACAGGAAGCAAGGCTTTTCCTCGACACTGGGGAGAGGTGTTTACTCTGTTCACGGTCCTCTTTAGTCCCTTTTAGTGTTGCCATCTATTACCATAGCAACTCATCCGCTAAGTTTCATCTTTCCTCCTGGTCCCAGCACTGTGACCCATAGTACCGTTTGTCAGGCCAAAAGTCACTGCAGACACTCTGCAACATCTACGCTCTGTGGCTGTTCTCAGCAATTGACATAGGAAGTAAATTCCTCCTTTCTTGGTCTTAGGAGGTAGATCTTGTTATTGTCTCTATTTTAGAGGTAAGGAAACTAAGGCACAGAGAAGGTAAGTTACTAGCCCAAAGTCATGCAGCTGGTTGAGTGACAGGGCAAGTATTTGAAACGATGCAGTCTGGCTCCAGAACTCATGCTCTCAAGTGCTCTGCTGCACAGCCTCTTAGTGTTTTGGAGGCATTTGGCCACTGTAGTCCTCTTGGCATCCGGTGTGGCCCTTTCTGTCCATCTTATCCTCTCTTTGATATGAAGCATCCTAAAGGCCTAAGTTGCCCAGTTCTTCATTCACAGGTAGGGCATCTTCCTAATTAACTGCCGGGTTGTAAGCAGGTTCACACTAAGTGGCCAAGGTAAGAAGGCAAGCCTGGGGACAGACTGGTGTCCTGCAGAACTGGTCTTAACTGTGAGATCAGTCATCAGACATCCAGAGAAGACCTGTCTGGAGATGGTGTCCCTGGCATTAGGCCGTGTGTTAAATGTCTAGTGGAGAGAAATGGAAATGCTGCAAAGACCATGAATCAGTGGATTCTGCTCTAGGTGTCGGGGAGATCATAGGCCAGGCAGAAGAACCTACAGAGGAGAGGTGGCATGTGAGAGGATTCTTTTTTTAATTTTTAAAATTATTATAGGGAGAGAAATAAGAAAGACAGAGAAACTGATTTGTCCCATTTATTTTTGCATTCCTTGTTTCCTTCTTGCCAGATATCAAACCCATAACCTTGGCATATATGTTTTTTTTTTTCCTGTCACGTTATATTTATTTATTTATTTATTTTCATTATTAAATTATTATCTGTGTACATATTTTAACATTGCCCCTCCCCCCCATACGTACCCTCCCTCCCCAGAGTTTTATGTCCATTGGTTGTACTTATATGCATGTATACAAGTCCTTCGGTTAATCTATTATCTCCCCCAGATCTCCCTACCCTACCTGCTGTAATTTGACAGTCTGCTTGTTGCTTTACTGTCTCTATATCTATCTTTTGGTTCATCAGTTTATAATGTTCTTTATTATCCATAAATGAGTGAGGTCATGTGGTGTTTCTCTTTCATTGATTGGCTTATTTCACTCAGCATGATGTTCTCCAGTTCCATCCAGGTTGTTGCAAATGATGAGAATTCCTTCTTTTTTATGGCAGCATAGTATTCTATTGTGTAGATGTACCATAGTTTTTTGATCCAATCATCTGCTGACGGGCACCTAGGCTGTTTTCAAATTCTGGCTATTGTAGATTATGCTGCTATGAACATAAGGGTGCATATATCCTTTCTGATTGGTGTTTCTAGTTTCTTGGGATATATTTCTAGGAGTGTGATTACTGGGTCAAATGGGAGTTCCATTTTCAGTTTTTTGAGGAAACTCCACACTGTTCTCCACAGTGGTTGCACCAGTCTGCATTCCCACCAGCAGTGCACGAGGGTTCCTTTTTCTCCATAACCTTGCCAACATTTGTCGTTTGTTGATTTGTTGATGTTGGCCGTTCTGACAAGTGTGAGATGGTACCGCATTGTTGTTTTGATTTGCATCTCTCTATTTTTTATTATTTTTTTTACATTTTTTTATTAAATTATTATCTGTGTACATATTTTAACATTGCCCTCCCCAACCTTGGCATTTTGAGACGACGTTCTAACTAAGCTACCAGTCAGGGCCAGAGGTGATTCTTTCTTTGAATGAAGCCCTTCTACAGGTACTGAAGTCACAGACCTCCTCACCTTTATGACTTTATGATCTTATTGTTTTTCTAGGTTAGAAAAAGCGGACACTTGTATTTGTTGTTTGTTGTTTCAGGTGCTGAGACCAAGAACCCACAATTATTGGTTCCAAAAACTGAAATATGTGATGAAGCAGAAAAACCCTTCATGATATCAGGAAGGATCCAGAAAGTTGATTCTCAAGGACCTGAGTTCAAAGAAGCCTTCGAAAAAGGGAACATGTTAAAGGGGCAGAGAATAAAGAGGGAAAAGAAAGACTTCAGGCAAGTGACAGTGGAGGACTGCCATGTACCTGGAAGCTTCAAAGAAGAAGAAGACCAGAAATGTCAGAAATCTGGGGAAAGATACAACCGAAGTTCTGGCCCTGTTAAAAAGCAGAAAAGCCAACCTGGGCAGAAACCTTTTACTTGCAGCGTGTGCGGGAAAGGCTTTAGTCAGAGTGCTAACCTCGTGGTACATCAGCGGATCCACACTGGGGAGAAACCCTTTGAGTGTCACGAGTGCGGGAAGGCCTTCATTCAGAGCGCAAACCTTGTTGTGCATCAGCGAATCCACACAGGACAGAAACCCTACGTTTGTTCCAGATGTGGGAAAGCCTTCACTCAGAGTTCAAACCTGACTGTCCATCAAAAAATCCACTCCTTAGAAAAAACCTTCAAGTGCAGTGAGTGTGAGAAAGCCTTCAGTTACAGCTCACAACTTGCTCGGCACCAGAAAGTGCACATTACAGAAAAATGCTATGAATGTAACGAGTGTGGGAAAACATTTACCCGGAGCTCCAACCTCATCGTCCACCAGAGGATCCACACCGGGGAGAAGCCCTTTGCCTGTAATGACTGTGGCAAAGCCTTCACCCAGAGTGCCAATCTTATTGTGCATCAGCGAAGCCATACCGGTGAGAAGCCATATGAGTGCAAAGAGTGTGGAAAGGCCTTCAGTTGTTTTTCACACCTGATCGTGCACCAGAGAATCCACACTGCAGAGAAACCGTATGACTGCAGCGAGTGTGGAAAAGCCTTCAGTCAGCTCTCTTGCCTTATTGTGCACCAGAGGATTCACAGTGGAGACCTTCCTTACGTGTGTAGCGAGTGCGGGAAGGCCTTCACCTGCAGCTCATACCTGCTGATTCACCAGAGAATCCATAATGGGGAAAAACCTTACACGTGCAATGAGTGTGGCAAGGCCTTCAGGCAGCGGTCGAGCCTCACCGTGCACCAGAGAACCCACACGGGGGAGAAGCCCTACGAGTGTGCGAAGTGTGGTGCAGCCTTCATTTCCAACTCCCACCTCATGCGACACCATAGGACCCACCTCGCTGAGTGACGCGAAAGGAAGAAGGTGATGTCCGGGCATTGGTCACACCTGCTACCCCCCTGATTAGACACCACTGCTTTGTTCTTCCTCCTTTGTGAAAATGAGGCCTGCCGCCATCTTAAAGATAATAGTTTTCAGGAGTGCAGCAAAGACAGCATTTCAGAGGCTAACTTAAAAGGAAAGCTAAGCCCCTAAAAAGGCAAGGACTTTGTTTTTGACTGTCCCCTAAGTGGTGGTGGTGTCTGAAATACCATGTGGCTTTCTTAGGAATGGATCATACAAAGCTAGATGATGAAGATCCCACTTAGGGAAAGGTATTTTTAAACTAAATTTTGTGTGTTTTTTTGTTTTTGTTTTTTTTTTAAACCGGTAATTTCTTGAGCAACGGGCAGGTTACTGGTATAGGCCTGCCTGGTCGAATTCTGGCGGTTTAAGCCCTTTATCATAGCATTTGGTTAAGCAGCGACTAGTTAAGGAAATCACTTTGGGTAGCAATTCACCAACAACCCACCTATGAATATTTATAAGCTTTCCATTCCCTAGTTAATTAAAAATATATATTTTAAACCTATTAACTGTCTACTGCTCCTCAAATGGACAGAAGTAGGACAACGGCTGTGTCCCTCATTCTATACCTCATGAACCTTGGATGAGAAAGCTCTGGTGAGTCTCTTCTGACCCTTCCCTAGTCTACACGGCCAAACACTTGAGGTGTGATGGAGATTACACACTGGGGCCACAGATGCTGCTGGGCTGTACTCATTTGCTAAGATGAACGGCTCTCCAAAGAAGCCCCAGCCCCCACTGCATTCCATTTCAGTGTGCTGCTCCTGACAGCCCCATCCCAGGTAGGGGAGTCCAAGAACAAGCTGGCCTAGAGCTGCCTGCATTTCCTCCGCTCACTGTGCAGGCCCAGCCAACCGGCTCGGTTAGTGTCATTCTCACCTTTGTGGTCTTGAGAAGAAAAAAATGGAGCCCTTCTAATTCTGAGAGGGCCAGAGAGGGAAAGGAAAGGAGGGGTGGGGGCAGAGTGGGATTCCTAAGGTCTTAATTTTTTTGGGAGAAGTTCAAAGGTATCGGAATATGGAAACTTGAGAAGGATGAAGAAACTGGCTAAGGTAAGATACCTTTGTTACCACTGAGCCTTTACTCCTGGAAAGTTATTTATAAATCTATGCAATAACCAGAGTTGTGTAATATTGCCTTGTATTTATATGGAATTTTATTCTTTGTGTACCTTCCTGTATAACATGAACCCAGCACTTCTCATGTTTTTATATACATAGGTCATTACCTTAATCCTTACAACACTGAAAGAGGGGTTTGCCCCATTTACTTGTGATTGGTCATTTAAAGCAAGGCCACTTAACAAGTGATGAATGTTCAGATCTAAGACCTAAGTCCAGATTCTCCTTGTTCTGCCATGCTGTTAGTCCAGCCACCGTAATCCCACCTAGATCTGTGGAGAACCTGAGAAAGGGGTGTGTAGTCTGCTTTTTAGGTAGGGAAGGCGACATGCCAGCGTGTGTCTTAGGCAATGTGACCAGCAAGCAGCAAATCTAAGACTGGAATTTTAAGTCTCCGGATTTCTGGGTCTGTCCACCACCACCCCTCTCAGCACGCAAGAGCATTTATCATAAATGCTGCACCTAGTAGTAAGCAGTTTGGTGCATACATTTATTGTCTCGTTTCTGCAAGACTGAATGTTAATTAACATGAGGCTTTGTTTATAGGGCACTTTCATATACAGAAGGCATATACAAGAAAGCTTATTTATCTCCTCTTTTTCTTCTTTCAGTAGTCTTTCTTCCTTCCATAGTCTCATCAGAGCACATGAAACTTCCTTTCCCAGGGCAACTCTAAGTCATATGGACACAAACACAAGAAATCGATAGGATTCAAAAGAGTAAAAAAAGTTCTCTGACCCTGAACATGACTTTCGTGTTCCCCTGTCTGGGGGTGGATAACACCACATGTCTCCACTGACTATCCTAGCATGATCAGGAAGCTCAAAAGGAGGAGAGCAAGTGTGAAGTTTTGGGATAAATCTCCGACCTTGAAGAATGGTGTGCTTTCCTGGAAGATAACACCTAGAATTTATAAGCATTAAGACAGGTAAACTGTTTTAGCTTCAAATTGTATATTCATCCTCATAATTAAATATTCAGTTATGGATGATTATAAATTCCCGGCTTAAGATTTCCATTCATTGGTATTTCAGAAAAGCCACCCAACTGGTTGGGATATAAAGCTAGGTTTGGGAATCGGTGACCAAACCTTGCAGTAAAACAGTAGTTTTCCGCCTTGGCTGCAAGTCCGAATCATGTAGAGCTCTTTAAAAATGTTTCTGTTTCCCAGGCCTTGTATTTTGAAATCTCTGATGGGGATCCTCTGTGCAACCAAGGTAATGAGCCACTGCAGTCAAGTAAAGCCTGCAGGCCAAGGTGTGAAACCCAATGCGGTGGGAGGCGGGGGTAGAAGATCTGGAGCTGCAGTGTTCTAAGTGGTTTCAGCAAAACCATGGGCCACCCTGCGGGTCCTTCTATTAACCCTCTGTGACCTAACCTAACTTAGTTTGTAATTTAAATGAATGTATCAAATATTTATCTGAGCAGACTAGGTTTTACATGTGTTTCTTTCCTCATTTTATCAAGCTGACTGTTTATATTTCTGCTTGTATTTCATCTCCAGATCAGATTTCACAGACCTGCACCTGGGTTCGAACCTAGTGGGATTGAATACTAGACAGATCAAATCCTTCCCCAACTAATAGCTCTTCCTCCCAGTTCAATTCCAGCCCTAAAATAAATCACCTCCCACTTTTCTTCTGTACAGTTTGATGGGGGAGGAGTGACCACCGTTGTTGGCTGAGCTGGCCTCCGTTTGGGGTTTTCTCCCCTTTCCTTTGGCTGGTCTTGCTAGACGTGGACGAGAGCTTTGAAGCCTCATTCTGTTTGTGTTAAGAGCTGTCCGACTTGTAGTTGTCAAAGGGCCAGGCTTAGTGATGGGCACTAAGGGTGAAGCAGGGAACCCTGTCCTCATTCTTAAATAAGACCAACAGATGTGTAGTAAGTGGGGCGAGGTGCTGCGATTGGATGTGCTTTGGGAGTGTAGGGGAGAGACTTCATCAGCACATGCTTACGCAAACACTGGGCTGTGACTTTCTCCAGGCTCAGGAGGAAGTGTGCTTGGGCAGATCTAATCCTTCCTCTGTGCTCTGGAGCCCATCTCTTCCTCGCCTAGGCAGGTGTCCTCCCAGTCTGTCGCTTCTCCGCTTGCTCCGTCCAGTGTGCCTAACCTCTCTGGGGTCACAGCCCCTGTGGGACTCTGAGGGAGGTTGTGGATCCTCTTCTGGAGACATGCAGATGGCACATGCAGTTTTGTGCTCATTTCAGGGACAGTTAGGCTCCCCAAGGCCAATCCACGGATCCTCTCGGGCCTAAAGTCTCAGGTGGGGATGCATATTCATCACCAGTGACATTTTATAAAATGAAGGGAGATGAATTTTGCTTCTGGCTTCTTTCCCTTAGCAAATCGCAGCATGGTCCAGCACCCAGACTAGAACTCCAGGAAGCATTCCTGTGTATCATACAAAATGATACTGTAGATCCTGCTCTCACTTTGTAGCAAACATGGCCCTAGACCTTGGGTGCCAGAGCAAATAAGGTCTATCAAACTCTCTTCTCACATCTTTTGTGGGAAACGGTCTGGATCCCTTAACATGATTGACTAAGCTCTTCCTAGTCTCTCTCTGACTTCCTCTCTCCTTCCTGTGCACCTTTCCTGCAGTCTGGAGGCATGTGCTTGCTGTGCTGTGTGCCTTCGCTCCCCGTCCTCGGTGCCTGCAGTACCTCACCACCGCTCCGCCCCGCCCTGCCTACTTAGCAGACTTAGGTTTCTTTTCAGATTTGGTTCAAGTCCCATCTCTGGGAAACCTTTCATTGTCCTATGGTGAAGGGCATGTTTAGAAATATATCTAGGAATATAGAAGAGCATGACATGATATATATCCAGAGTTTTACTTTATGCTTTGAAATTTAAAAAAAATCTGTATTCAAAATTGTGTACATAATACAATTCTTATATAATGATACATATACTAGTAAAAAGCATATAGATAAATTACCGGAAAGAAATAGAAGAAAAGTTTTTATGTGGTTACGTGACTTGTTCACAGCCAAACAGATAGTAAATTGCAGAGTTTAGGTTCAAACCCAGGTCCTGTGAAGAATTGAATTATGGGTGATTAAAAGCTGTTTGTTTATTTTTTAAAGTAATTTCCATATTTCCTATAAGGAGCAAGAATTTGATAATAAGGAAAAAATGAGTTATTTATTATATTTGCATACTTGGTTTTTATTGTAGTAACTGTAAAACATTATCTCAGTTCCCACTTTGCAAGATGTGGGATGCACCCTGTCCCTTTCTCCTTCCCTTTTCTACGTCTCTGCCTCTGACAATGTCAAGTCTGAAAGCTCTTGAATTCTGTTCTGGAACCATAGTCTCTCTCTCTCTCTTTTTTTTTTATACTTTATTGATTTGTTGTAAAAGTTGAAAATAAGCAGTATGAATTATATTATGACTGTGTACATGTTGTTCACTGCAGATTGAGTAGCTTACTCTGGTGGTATTTCCATTTTGGAAGAGCATTTTGTTTTTACTGAAGTTTCTGATTGCCTTCTTTCCCACTTGTATCGGTTGCTTTTAGCACATCAGTGTTTTTTCAACTTTTCCATCTCTGTTGAGTCCCCTTTTTCCCCTGTTTATTTGCCTTCTGATACTTGTAGCCTCCTACTCTTTGTCTGTCCTTGATGGTCTTTCTGCCTTCAGTTCTGTTGATACACTGGGCTCTGTTGTGTCCTGAATTCCATCTCTTCTTCTTTTTTCCCTTACTCCCTCACTTTACTGCAGCTCACCTCAAGTCACTTGTCAAGATAGAGTATGAGGCAGAATTGTGGAACGCTTGTATATCTCAAACTCTGCCTTCATCTTGATTGGGAAGTTTGACGGGCTCTGAATTCTAGATTGAAATTTTTCCTCAGGAGTTTGTGGATGTCTGATTCCAGTCTGAGGCTTACTTCCTCAATAATAAGTAGTATTTGCATCATTGTGATCTTATTCCCTCATTCCAAGGCTGGAAGCTTTTAAAGTCTCCACTTTATCCTTGGTGTCCTCAGTTTCCTAATGTTCTTGCTGGAATTTCTCAGTTTAGTGACTCAGGTACTTCTACTCTTGGAAATTTACTTGCGTTATGTGGCAATTTCTCCTTTCCATATGTTTTTTCCCTATTTTTGCTCTTTCTGTAAATCCTGAATTCCTGTCAATCAAATGTTGGACCTTCTGGATTGAACCTTAACTGCTTCCTCTATTATTTCTATTTCTTTGTCTTTTGCCATTCCCTGGTAGAGTATCTTAATTATTTTTCAACTTTTCTAGTGAATGCTTTAATTTATTTTGGCAGTAATTACTTTAGTTTTTAAGTCTTTTCTTATTTCCTTTTTGTAGTATACTATCCTCATTTTAGAGATGCCTCTCAAATCTGAGTATTCTAAGAGTTTTCTTAAAAGTCTCTGCTGTCACCTGAATAATCTCACCCCCTTCATGCCTTGCCTTTTTTCTCTCTTTATCTTATTCACCCTCATGGAAACTTTCCTCAAATATATTATGATTCTTAATGATGCACCTGTGTGTACATACGGAAAGCCCAGTTGAGGCCTCTGGGTGGGAGTGGGATTGGCTCAGTGAGAGGCTTCCCTTTAAAAGGACCAGTAGGGAGCAAGTTGTTTCCTGAAACCTGTAAATGCCAGAGTGAGACCTTTGTCTGGGCCTCTTACATTTCTTTAGCAAAAAATCCTCTGATTTTTAAAAAATATATATATTTTATTGATTTTTTTACAGAAAGGAAGAGAGAGGGATAGAGAGAAACATCGATGAGAGAGAATCATCAATCAGCTGCCTCTTGCACACCCCCTACTTGGGATGTGCCCGCAACCAAGGTACATGCCCTTGACCGGAATCGAACCCGGGACCCTTCAGTCCACAGGCTGACACTCTATCCTCTGAGCCAAACCGGTTTCGGCTCCTCTGATGTTTTTGTCTGTAGATTGGATACTCTAAGTGCTTCTCTAGGAGTGGGAGGGAAGGGAATCGAGGCTTACAGACTTAGTTGTAAATCCCACTGTCCCTCCCACCCTTCATTGTTTTTGGCGTTTCCAAGTCCTGAGTCTCTGGGGGTTGGCGGGGTAGATCATTACCTCCTTCAGTTGTATTGCTCTCAGCAAGTGTTCCAAGCTGGTATTCCCTCCACCCAGCTTTCTCAGTGATCACCTACCCATTCTCTATCTTCTAGAAATTTGCTTATCTTGTTCCATTGTAGTTATTCATACATTTTGAACCATTTTAACCCATTATCATGTTAGGGGAAGCTCAACCATTTTAGAAAGAATGTTACTATGTTTTGATACAGTAGTACCACTTTCAGAAAGCCATCCTGAAAGTGAATATTTTTACAATGATTTATATATTTGTCAATTATTATTTTACATTGAAAACAACCAAAGTGACCAATAAGAGAAGAGTGGTTAAATTATTGTATGATGAAATATTATGCAATCACTAAAAATCGTAATTTAAAGGATATTTAAATTATGCAAAAGTACAAAATTAAATCAAAAGCCCAGTTTCTTAAAATTTTTATTTATTGAATTTAGAGAGGGAGCGAGAGCAAAACATCAATTTGTTGTTCCACTTATTTATGTATTCATTGGCTGTTTCTTGTGTGTCCTAACGGGATTGAATTTTGGTGTATTGGGACAATGCCCCAGCCAATCGAGCTACTTGGCCAGGGCTGAGAACCCAGTGCTTCGAAAAGATCTGAAGGAAATAAGTACTTTGGTATTAACCATGTTTAAGTTTTCCTGTATTGTCTACGTTTTTTACAATGAACCTTAATCTTTTATGATCAGGAGAGGGGGAATTAATAAAAGGGAAAGATCATGGCTGTGCAGAGTGGTGAGATCTTGTGGAGTGTGGAATATGTTGCGAGCAGTGGAGTGTGGAGGCTAAACTGGCGGAGAAAATCTGGAGACCACACAGACAGCTTCTGTCAGAGTCCAAAAGAGACTATGGGATTCTTACCCAGTCAGTGGCAGGGGGTCAGGTGGAATGAGTAGGCCTTAGGGGCAAGAAGCAGAATTCCCAAGCCAGAAATTCAGGCCTCCACATCCTGGTGAGACGTGACCTGTGACAAATGGGGCCTTGCCCAGACCTGACTGTCCCTGGCTTCCTTGGCCACCCTGTGTGTTGACAGTGGCCAACAGAACTGCGATGTTGGGAGGAGACTGGAGGGGGGCAACCCAACCCTAGCAGGCCAATAGGAAGGTTGTAATCACCCCATTAGTTGAGGGGTTCCTGTGTGCTAGGCACCATGCTAAATGCCATATGACTTATCTCATTCAGCCGTCCCCTTAGGAGGGGAAGTTCTCTTATCCCATTTCCAAAGCCAGAGTCACAGTCAGGATTAGAACAACTCTGAAGCCAAAGTCCCTTTCTCCCAAGTTACTTCCTCAGTGTATCTCCAGGGACCCCTCTCCTTATCTAAGGTTGTGGTGCAAAAGCAAACAGTGAAGAGTAAGTTTCCCAGCCCAAAATACCCAGAGAGAACTTAAGTTAAAAAAAAAAAAAAAATTGATGATCCTTCCAGAGATAGTTCATGCATTTTCAATATTCTGTATAAGACTCTCCTCCCCCATTACACACAGGAGTTTATGATGCACATTGTCTATACCTTGCTTTTTCACGTCTTGGAGATGGTTCTATGTTAGCCTGTAAGATCTACCTCATTTTTTCACAGCTGTGTGACCTTCCATGGTGTGGATGTGCTGTGATTCATGTAGCGAGTGCCCTATTGGTGGACATGTAGTTTCTTTCCTGTCTTTTTCTATTATAACAACACTATGCTGAATACCTGGCACACTCTCCTTCGGTATATATGCCATTTTGCAGGATAAGTTGATAAAGGGTAAGGGCATTTGATATTCTAATAGAAATGGCAACTGTGGTTTCCAGTATGTGTATGAAAATGCCCATTTTCCTGAGTCCTCTGTAAAACTCTTGTTTTGTCTTCTGATCCGATAAATGAAAAATGCTTTCATGTTTTATGTTCATTTATGAATGAAAGTGGCTATCGTGTCTCATGCTTAAAAGCCATGTATATTTTCTTTTTTTAATTTGAATTGCTTGTTCATGTTCTTAAACAGTTTCTGTTGGGTTGTTCTGTTTAAGAATTGATTTGTACAAACTATAGTAAAGAAATTACTCTCTTATCTGCCATGTGTGTCACAAATATTTTCCCCAGTTTATAGTTAGTCCTTTTACCTTAATAAGCTATAAATATCCAAATGATAGTTGCAGTTTAATGTCAAAGACTTCCTATACAAGCTCCCATGGCATAACCCTTTGACTAGTCTGCTTTGAGATAGGTCCATTTGAAATTCATTGTGGAGTAAGGACCTATTTGTGTGTTGGCCCCACCTCCACCCCTTTTCTCCTTGGTTCAGTGGGAGGAACTCAGGTGGAGGTTCACCAAGATGAAGACACCTCCCTAGAGCTGCCCAGCAACAGCCTGCAGCCAGGGCCCTGGCCGATTCACTAAGTCCATCTCCTCATTTGGTGAGCTAGGGGTAGGGTGGGGATTGGGATGGCAGGGGAGAGGGCAGCTGGTGGAGGAGGAGGGAAGATCCTGAGGGGCAAAGGTGCGTTGAAGGGGGGTGGTTGTTGGGGATGGGTAGGGAGGAGGATGCTGTAGTCAAACTTTGGGAGGGAAAAATAAAAGAGAGGCTGTAGCCTGAGGTCAGGGGGTTAGGAGGAGAGTGCAACAAGGATGGGGAGTGATGGGAGAGCTCCTGCTGAGGCCAGGGTCTGCAAGGGAAATATAGGCAATGGGGAAAGGGAAGATGGATACCTGGCAGGGGTGGCCGGCAGGGAAAGGAATCAGGGTGTGTGTGTATGGAGCAGAAGGGGTTAAAAAGGAGGGGATCGGACCATGTTTGGGTGGTTTCCAAGACCCTGATACCCTCTGGTTCTGCCCAGCTGATTTATCTGACATTGGGTGAGTGGAACATAAACCAGGCCAAGTTTTGGGACAAAATCAGTCTCTCAGACCTCGTGGTGGGGAAGAAGCATTCTAGGCTGGCCCTGCCCCTCACTCACCAACAGCCCAGGACAAATCCCTAACCCTTTTGAACATCATTTCTCCCTT